GAAATAATTTTTATATTTAATTATTCGTAAGTAATTTTTTGAGACTACAAGTATCAGGAATCGAACTCGTGTCCTACCAAATTTAAAGCTCAGAGTCAGCGCAGAAAAAATTGCGAACATAAAAGTTAAGTACGGAAATTTGTATTGCAGCAAAGATTGGGAATATTAACCTGTACTCCTAAAGGAAACTACTCCTTGTTGAAAACTCATTGCGGGCTACATAACAACGTTAACTATGTTTAAAATTAAAAGCCTTATCTACTTTTATAAACAAATTTAAACGAGATATATGTAATGTAAATATACATAAAAATCTTCTCGGCGTTTACACTGGCTAAACTTGGCAAGATTTTTATGTTGAATGCTAATACGTATTATTTTCGAATTTTGGCTGCGAACAAGAATTTGTATTGGACACTAAATAAAGCAAAAACCTTGCCAAAATCTAGCTGAACAGTCATATATTATTTGAGTAGTTTTACGTTCGGGCAAAACGAAGTATTGTCGACTACTGGAAATGTGCGTTGCTCGAACGCCGAGCTAGTAACTAGTGACTATACTTTTGAATCTGTCAACGATTCATTTACATTGGCGCCGCCGTAACACACAATAATGATGTCAACCTAGAAATCAGACGAAGAATCACCATTCCTAATATCTGCTACTATGGGTTCAGTAGTAACCAGTTGGGATGTAGAGCTCTCTCTCTCGATAAAAAAAACTTACGCTCTTCTTGTGTATGGCACAGAAGCATAAACATTATCACAGAATGATGAAGTACTACTGGGAATGTATGAGAGAAAAGTTCTTCGTAAGATCCTTGGTCATCTACAAGTTAGCAACGACTATCGCATACGAATAAATCACGAATTGTATCAGCTTTATCACGATATTGATATAATTTAGCGAATTAACATCCAACAGCTTCGCTTGTTTGGTCATCTCGTGAGATTGAATGAAGATGCTCCAGCGAAAAGCGTATTTGAAGCAGTAGCTAGAGAAAGAAGACGTAAAAGTAGACCGTGTTTTCGGTGGAGTAATCAAGTTGAGGGAGCACTAACCGAACTTGATGTACGATACGAGACCAGGTACGCACGTAGCAGAGGTGCCTGGAGAGACATGCCGCGTCAGGCCGAAACCCAATAACGGGTTATTATGACCAAAATAAATATTAAACGAGCTACGTTACTAATTAGAAGAAAGTAGCATGTACTTTCTATTGTTATAGTTAGCACGGCCAGTTTACAGCTGATACTGAGGGTCACAAACGCAGCAAGAATTTTACTTCAGTTGACGCTCTTCGATAACTTGTTAGAAATCGGCAAACAATATATATAGTAAATATCAAGTCAACATTTATAATATTTGTTTTAGCACGAAGTTTTGGTCGGTTGAAGAGCGATTTGGGCATGAGTCGCAATATTTTTCTCTTAGAACTTTCTCAGCTTTAAAAGTTAAGCACTTTGTTAAGACAAGAAAATACGTTGTAGCATATGCTGGGCAAGGTGTTTTCCCCTTAATTCCAATATATGAGTTTCTCGCTTATAAAGCTTTTGTCCTAATTATTCCAATTTTTCAACTATTTTTTGTATGAACTCACTTCCCCATATTTATGTTTAAAAACCGGAATATATCTCTTATAATTTCCAGGTGTTAATTCCTGATACTTTATTATTTAATTAATTTTTTTATTATCTCACAGATTTTATTTATATTATACATATTAGTTTTCCTCTTAGTCTCGCGCGGTATTAAGATAAAATGGTATCGAATATCACTTACTTAATTACTTTTGAGAAGATAGTTAATTGTCAATCTTTCTTGGGAGAATGTAAATATTAATCTATGTTTGCTATCAATGTTTAGCAATGACAATAATTATTTCTTATGTGTATTCCACTTTTTAAAAAATGATTTATTTTAAAAATTGGTTTTAAAAAGATACATTTAGTTGGAATAGATGTGCAATTGATTTTCTAAATTTTCTCTGACTGAACACTTGATAGGTTATTAGACTCAAGATACAATAAAAAGTTTTTTTAATGCAAGAATAAATAATTAACTGAGATAAAGTATTACTAATAGCTGTTGATATATGTAAATTAAAGAGCTTATTGTATTTAAAAATTCATCTTAAAAAAAAATGCTCAATTATTAAATTAATTAAGTCAGTGAAAATAAATTAGAACGTTTTTGTTTATTTTTTTTTCCCCAGCAATAAAGGATCTATTTTAGTAGGTATTATTTTCAATATAACAGAGTTCCATTATAGTAACTATTCTGTAAGCAAGTATTTTTTTATTAAATAATGTTTAGAATATCAAACGCAAAGACTTACGTTCGAGCATTATTTATGTTATTATTTGTGGGTTTACGAGTATCCAAAACAAATGTTCAAGAAAAATTGTAGATTGCAATAAATGCAAAAGTACTACTAAGAATGATCTTCAAATATAATTTTTTTAACATGTAATACAGGCTCTGGAATCGTTAAAGATCGTTTAAAAATCAAGTAGAACAATCATTTTAACAATCAGATTGGTCTGTATACATACTCCGGAAACTTGGAAGACTCCGGATTTACAAAAACATCCAATTTTATTTTCCTCTCCGGAGACTTTGTTTACTTAAATTTTACCCATCCCATAATCCATTCTCACTTCTAAAAAATCCCCTTTAGTCACACACTACCAATACCTATCCACAACTATCCCCCGCATTCATGTTATCTGCTTCATAGATCCTTGCGGGCTACAATAACATCAACAGACAATCAATTATGGATGGATTGATTTGTTAAGCTAGATTTTCAATAAAATAAGTCAAATTCATATAACTGGAACTTCTATAACTCGAATTACTCTATAACTCGAATAAAAATATTGTCACGTGCCAATAGGAAAATGGGAAAGTGTATTCTTTAAATCAAATTTTTCTTTTAAGTATGAATCCTTTTGATGTTAGAAAAAGTCCCTTTTACCAAACCAAATGTTTAATTTTTTCTTTCTATACTGCTCCTTTGTATAAATGCCAGTAGCTGGCTTTTGAGCAAGTACATAGAATTGGCATTTCTTCCGCTGAATATAACCTCTAAATTGAACTGTTTGATCAGGGAGTAATTCAAAATTTAATGTGTAACTATCGCAACAGAATTGTAAAGGAAGCACTAAAGCGTATAGAAGTATGGATTCTATAAATCATGTAACAAAAGCTTGAAATATTGAGATATTGTTACTCAAACGATAGCGAACTGCTTTAAAAAACATGGATTTGGCAAATTTTTAACATGGGACGAACAGGACAACATCCCTTTAGTTTTCTTGAATAACATTGATAAGGACCGTGAATTGATGTTAAAGTAAAGTAAAAATAAAGTAAATAAAATAACTTTCAATGTTACTCTTAACAATTATATTATATTGACCTTGACAATGAAATTTGTTCATCAAACTTTCCTACAGATGACGATATTATTGAGCATTATAGCTTTGTATATATCTCATTAGAGTGGATCCAATTCTAAGTACAACGAAAAGTGAGGGTTCGGATGAAATTGTTAATCAGCGTTCCAAGAATAAAGTAGAGGACTTATTCAAAATTCTTAATTTTTTTATTTTTGCAATGAATGAATGATACTTTAACTGATGATCACTATAAGGCTTTAAATAAATGGGAATCTCTTTTTATTAAAAATAAGAAGAAAAAAATTGAAATCCCAAACCCTAATTTTTGAATATTTTATTTTTATATTTGTATTTGATATAAATAAATATCTTAAAATGTGATTCTAGTTTATTTTAAAAATAAAATAAAAATATTTTCTAACTTGAAGTCTCTCTCTATAAGTCGAACCTTTTCTTTGCAAAATGGTACTTTGAGTCATGGAAGTTTGATTGTATTTAGAGATTTTGGAAAATCTCCCTCATTATGTTATATATCTCAAAACATATATCTTGGGATATATTAATACTATGTGTATTATAATAATTTTTGAATATTTTATTTTTATATTTGTATTTGATATAAATAAATATCTTAAAATGTGATTCTAGTTTATTTTAAAAATAAAATAAAAATATTTTCTAACTTGAAGTCTCTCTCTATAAGTCGAACCTTTTCTTTGCAAAATGGTACTTTGAGTCATGGAAGTTTGATTGTATTTAGAGATTTTGGAAAATCTCCCTCATTATGTTATATATCTCAAAACATATATCTTGGGATATATTAATACTATGTGTATTATAGATAGAAAAATTAAATGTAATTGCAAATAGAATGGCTGCAATAATTATAAATATATTATTTTTCATTTATACATATAAATAAAATGAATAATATAATCATAAATAATGTAAAATACTATATATATCTCAACTCATACAAAGACTTAAATCCACTAAATCACTTCTTAAGAATGAATGGAGAAGATTTCTACAGCTTTGTGAAAACTTTATTCCAGTAAACAGGGGAGAGAGAAAAAAACATAGACTTAGTACCTAGCGAGTTAGAACTCATACATATATTTTAGGATATATTAATATTATGTGTATTATAGGTAGAAAAATTAAATGTAATTGCAAATAGAATGGCTGCAATAATTATAAATATATTATATTTCATTTATATATATAAATAAAATGAATAATATAATTATAAATAATGTGATCTAAGCTACACAATTGAGAATATCCCATTTACCATTTGGTTCTTTGATATTTCACCATTTGGCTATTTGGTCGAAATAAATAGCGCAACTCAATTCGATTTGTTTGTTAACTAACAAGCGTTAGCGGCAGACTATTAACACTTTGTAAGCATTGTACTAACAAAAGGCCTTTCCCGCAATTTGATAAAAAAAATTAATTTATAATTAAATACTACAAAAACATAAAAGTAGAAGCGAACACAAAAAATAAAAAACCACTCTAAAGCAAAAGAAAAAAGTTAATTTAAAATTTGCAAAATGTTCATTAATTATGATTAATTGTTAAAAAGCTCACCATGCAGATTTATCGTGCAGGTTGTGTTGTTGCCGCGATCCAATACCACGACACTCGTAGCCGCTGCTGCTGCCATGGTTGTAGAGGCGCCGCACTGACTTCGGCGAGGCAAGGTAACTGTATATGATAATTCCAATATACCCGAAGAGCAGGCTTATGATTTGCTGCTTGGCTTCAAACTAAAGTTATACTTTGTTCTTAAACGCAGCAGTAACGCAAGAAACTAAGGCACAACTTGCTAGCCTTGAAGATTTGCCAAATAACTATTTGTTGCGTCCCCCACTCAAATAAAAAATATATTCCGTTTGCTTTCCGTTTTTATATTTACAAACATAACAATCGAAAACATTTGTTAAAAAAAAAATTAAATTAAAATTTGAAGTTATATGAAACGAAATTGACAATTCTTGCTAACTGCAATGACTGATGTCTATTCTACTTAGCGGTAAGCCGCCAAGTGTAAGTACCCCGCATTCAAATCCAAATAGCGCAAAACAGTACATGAAGCTCACATAAGATAACTAAACGATATTTTATTTGTTATTCGTACAATTGTCTTTAAGTGAATTCGAATTTACTGAATATGTTCCATCATGTTATTATTATCTTTACAATTATTTTACTCTTTCTATTTTTATACAACTGTTAGTATTAAAAAAAATTTTTGCGTATTTCACTAAACACGTTCAAACGAGAAACCCACACAAACAAGACCCGCGACACGAGAAATCTACTCAATTGTCCAATTAGAAATGACATGCAAGACAATCATTAAAATTTCCAAACATCTTTTACAGTTGCCAATCTAATGTTCAAACGCAAAGGAAAACAAAAGAGGGCTGCCCGAAAATGTACTCTTCAACACAAAAACTGTACTAACGTAACAACGTAAAAACGTAACGTTCGTACTTTTCATAACACATGTTCTTTTACGTGCATCACGTTAATATTGAATGAGATAAAGTAAATTGAAATTTCCTAGAGATTTTTTGCACTACACTAATGTAAATATTTATTTATTGCAATTATCTATTATTTTTGATTAAAAGTTTTCAAATTTATTAATTTATTTATTAAACATCTTATAAAATTTTTATGAAATTCACCCTACTCGAAATTCTGGTAAATACCAACATTCGCTCCCATAATTTACTATTTCCCTCAATTTACCACCAATTTACTCGAACTAGCATACGGTCAACATATGTACAAATATATTCAATATGTAAGTAAATACAATATGTAAGAGCCAATTTTGTTTAATAAATTAAAATTATGCAAATTTTTCTCGTTTTACATTCAATTCTGTTATATTCTGTTAACACGAAAAATATTCTGTTATTCTGTTAACACTTCGCTAACACAACATATCATGATTTTATTTTAATTTTGATTGTCATTTTTGTTTTTGTAGTTCCACTCGTATACAAAAATAATAAACGCAATAATATTTTATTTTGTTTTATATTGATTTATAAAAACTATTTACAATATCACTATACAATTGTGCTGTTGTGAATGGTTATGGTTTTCGTTGTCCAATTTGGCACGTGACAAATTTGTGTGTTTACTTAATTTGTCGTTTTATATTAACTATATTAGAACTGTAGAAAGTACGTAATATACAAGTGCGTTCCACCAGCAAATTTTCGACTAAATGAGAGCATCTGAAAAAGCGTAATATGCCTGTCGAAATTTGAAAATACTACACCAATGGGTATTTAAATTGTCTTTGGCTACACAGACTTTACTCGTACATTTTTTTTCAAATAAAATTTGCATTGATATGTGAATCAGCTGTTTTGGTTTGAATTTAAATTTTTGTGTTGTTTATTTGCGTGGCACTGGTGTTTTCACCAGATTTTACACAAAACTGTTCCATGAAAATCTGTAAAGTGAGTAATTTGACACTTTATTTGTGTTACGGTCTAAGTTTGTACTTTACTCTTGAAACAAACTTATTATAATGTGTTTCGCAGAATTAAAAAATAAAAATATTTCACAGTTTTACATGAGTGTGTAAAGCAGTTTGCTTAGAATTGAAAATATAAGTGTAATAAATTTTACATATCTTATATGTAATGAAAAACTATTGTCAGTATGCTGGCTTTTTAGTTGAGCTCTCGGCTTCTGAGATCTCATGAGCTCTTTAATATAAACAAATTGAAGGATCACGTTAATGAGCACATCAATATGAGCAAAATATGTGTTCATGCTCATAAACAAATTTTGTACTCATGTCATAATTGGATCTTGATCATGAGTTTGAGCTGCTCATTAGTGGGCAAATAGAAACTCTGGTGAATTTACAAAGTTATAGACTTGTTGAAAGCCATTACACGTGAATTTAAAACAAATTTTAGAAAAAATTAATTTGTTAATAATATTTTACAAAGTTTTTTGAAAAAATCGAGGAAAAACAAAAAACCCTGATTAAATTTTTATGATTATGATAACAGTTAAAATTAAACCAAAGTAATTTAAATTAGATTAACACTGATTTCAGATTGATAAATTTATAACTATATTAGTCCCTATATTTTATGAGTATGTTACAAAAAGACAACATCAAATAGACACTTGAAATACAGTCACATTTTTATTAAATTTTAATATATGAAAATTTTCTAGATATATTCAAATACTGATATCTGCAAAGTTTTGCTTAAAATTGGTAATAAGTGCATATTTTATTTAAATAATTAGTCATATTTATTATCCTAGAACATAATATCCCACGCAAAAATTATGTGCAGATAATCTGCATATGGGGTAAGGTGGCTATTCTTGTTCAATAACTAGAACGTATTCCAGCGTTTCAGTGTTATTTGAAATAATAGCTGTAATTTTTTCTTTCAGAGTAGCAAAAAAAATACTCGCAACTTACCAAAGAATATGTGCGAAGCACCAATAATGCTCTTAAAATCTTTAGAGTTAGATTTTACTCTCAAAAGAAGACTTCTTCTTTGGTGAGAACGTAAAAATTTGAACTCACTATAACATAATATATACTAAGCTTACGTTTCATACAGTTTTCTTACGTTGTTGAAAATATTGCACTAATGAACACTGGTTGCGAAATTGTCAATATAAACAAATTGGACAGATAAATTAAATCTTAGGATGTTGAATACGCTTAGAACTTATACTGATCAACAAAGACATGATTATGTATTAAAAAAATATATTCTTAATAGTCAAACTTCAAATCAAAAACGTGATATCGATATAATTCGAGAGGGTCACCGTTTTCTATGGGATGACGAGTCTAAACCGCAATCATGGGAAGAGCGACTGGTGCGAAAATATTACAACAAATTATTTAAAGAATATTGTATTGGTGATTTAACGTATTATAAAAATAATAAAATTGGTTTGCGTTGGCGTACAGAGTCTGAGGTAATATCTGGAAAGGGTCAATTTCAATGCGCCTGTGTAAAATGTGAGGAACGTACAGAATTGCGTACTTGGGAAGTAAACTTTGCTTACTTGGAAAGAGGTGAGAAGAAAAACACATTGATTAAGATTCGCCTGTGTCCTCAGCACTCAACACAACT